TGTTAGTAAAGTAATATTACGTTTTTTTTTTTTTTTTTTTTTTTTTTTTTAAAAAAATAAAAGTCCGACTTCTCGTATTTTTCGCTTATTTTGCAGTATTTTAATAGCAGTTTTAATATATACGCAATCAAAGCGGAACGAGCGAACGAATAGATGAATGGCCATTTTACCCCGTCTTTATGAGGAAAGGCGATGGGCGATGGGCTTTTATTTCGACGTAGACGATGAGGACTGATAATATATTCCAAATACCAGGCAAAGGACCAACTTCTCTACCGCGTCACCACCGGGCGAATTACTGGATTCATAACTATTGTAAATACCCTCCCTGCCTGCCATGCTTCCTGCCAGAGCCTTGAGGGCCACATGAGAGAGGGCCAACTTTTATAAGAGGGCACACACCCAGTAGCTAGAACAACAAGCGAGCTTTCCACCCATCTTTTTTTGCACTTTTTTTAGGAGGACCATGAGGTCCAGCCCTTCTTGTCGGGCTTCTCTAGGACAGCTCTTTTTGGGTGCTTCTCCACTATCTAGCCCATAATCAGAACCGGGATTGAAAAAATTGACGATTTTTCATTCTATTATTCAAAAAAATTAAACACGTTCTCAAATACAGTCTGATTATTTCAATCAGGATTATATATCAAGAATAGTATAAGACCAAATATATATATATATATAGAAGTATTCTTCTATGTATATAAAGAACAATTAATTCGATAATCCTCCTTTTCGAACCGGTATACCTCTTTTCCTCGAACCTGAGACAATGAAATACTACTACCTACCGGTACTACCTGATATAGATAAGAAGCTTAGCGCTAAAAATAAAATCTCTCAAGGCCGACCGATGGATGACTCATCTCCTAAGCCTAGAAGAATTCAACTGAGGTCACCATCGGTAAACAATTATCCTTTCAAAATGCTATTATCCTCTCGAAATAGACGATGAAAATTCAAAAGCGAGCCCTTTATTTATCATATCACATACCGGTATATACAAAAATGCCGCAAGCGAGAGATCGTCCTTACTGTGCTGTGCTGTTCGCTTCTTTCCGTTGATCTGGTTGCTTAGTTCTTTCTCACGCACCGAACCCATCTATCCATCCATCGTGCGCGAACAGGAATACACTTTTTTCTCTTCGGAATTATAGAGAGAGAGAGAGAGAGAGAGAGAGAGAGAGAGAGGA